TTTTTGCAGTGAAAAGTCAAGAAACGCAGACAGCAGGCGAGATCAAAAAAGAGGTTGCACCGTTGCCCATCAAGCTGGAGGAAGAGGAAGGAGATATTTCCCCGCAGCCAGAAGGAGATATTTCCCCGCAGCCAGAAGTGAAAAGAATCCTGTCAAGCACCGTATGGGAAACTAAAAGCGGACCCTCTGGGCGTTGGTATTACCGCTCAAGCCATGTGGTGACGTTGGGTAAGCACCCCTCGGATGATTTTGTTTTGGAGTATTTCAACTCTACATGCGGGGTTTTCCAGACAGCCCTACGTGTGCCTCTGACTGCTTGGTTGAAAATGATTGATGAGAAATCTGTAAAGCTTAAAGAACTTTTTAAACAGAGTCAGACATCGATCGACATTATACTGCTGAAAAGGACCCTCGCTTATGCAGACGACCCCGCCCCCCAAACAGCATAACAAGTCCCACCCCCACCTCACCAGATCATTTAAAACGAAGGACCCATCAAGAACGGTCTGTGATCAACAACAGCCATGGATCTGAAAAACAACAACTCCATCACCGCGAGCTGCAGCCTGGATCAGACGCCTCCAGGACCACCATCCTCACCAACAATTTGGACACCAGATCTCGACAACTATATGGCGGGCATCGATATCACGGGATGGATGGATATGCCTCAACCTCCATCCGACTCTCCAGGGGAATGTGCAGCAGAAGGCGTTGACATATGCTATACGTGTGTTCCAGTGGTTCCTGATACAGAACGTGGAAGGACTTCATCATTCCTGAATACGGTAAAAGCTGTTGTAGCCCATCTGCTGGATAGGGTCGTGCAACTCTATAAAGAGGAAACATGCAATGGATGTCAAATCGCTCACCCCAGTCAGAGGCAGCACGAGTGTTTGTTGCCGACCCGAGATTACTTTCTGAACATCAATTATGACGAGGTGTTAAAGAGACTGTGGACCGTTCGTTTCATTCCAGCCATTCGGGATGCTCTGCACAAAAGCCAGCTTCATGTGTCAGAGAGGAGAGTCCTTGGAGCTACCGAGGCGATTCTGCACAATCTCAGAAACACCAGACTCTTTGAAGCTAAAATGGAGAAAATTTACGACCAGTTGATAGACAACGACGAGAACCGTCTGAAGACCATAAGAGCAGCCTGGGTCTTTTGGCAGCAGTAGGACAAACAAAACAAATTTGATACTTTTTCGTTAAAGTATGTTTTATATTTTACTTCTTTTAACATGTTTTTTGATACATGTGTGACATATCAATAAAATGATTTGCAAGAAAAACTTTTGTACTCATTACCTCAACGGTGTGTAACAGGAAACATGTCTGAGAAACGTGCGATGCATAAAGTGTATTACACACCCTCTAATCCAGGGAGTTTAGGAGGTGTGGACAAACTCCATAGAGCTGTACAGAATGAAATGGGTAAACAAATAAATGTAGAGAAAGTCAGGGAATATTTATCGGGGCAGGACGCATATACTTTGCACAAGCCGGCTCGGGTGCATTTTGTAAGAAACAGAGTTTTCGTACTCAGACCGCTGCAGCAATTTCAAGCAGATCTCTGCGATATGCAGTCGCTGTCCGAATATAATGATGGTTTTAATTATTTGTTAACAGTCGTAGATGTATTTTCGAAAAAAGCCTATGCTCAGGCCTTAAAGAAGAAGACGGGTATAGATGTTGCCAAAGCCTTTGATACAATTTTAACACACAGTGAGATCCCTAAAAAGATACAAACAGATGCGGGGAAAGAATTCTTTAATAAAGTTTTTCAAAACTTATTGAAGAAAAGAGGTATAGCCCATTATGCAACCGCCAGTGATATGAAGGCATGCGTGGTAGAGAGATTTAACCGTACGCTGAAAACTAAAATGTGGAGGTATTTTACAGCTAAAAACACTCATAGATATATAGACGTCTTACCCGAACTACTTGAAAGTTACAATAATAGTTATCACCGAAGTATTAAAATGACGCCAATGCAGGTAACCAAGGAAAATGCGGCTCAAGTGTTTCGGAATCTATATAACCCCTCCAGCCTTCGTAAAAAAGCTGCTGTCAAAATGAACTTTAAGGAGGGGGAGCTTGTAAGGATATCCAAATTGAGAGGAGTATTCGATAAAAAATATGAGCAGAGTTATACGAACGAAATATTTACGGTGTCTGAAGGCTTACCTCGACAGCCACCTGTTTATAAGCTCAAAGATTATGATGGAGAAGAGATCAAGGGTACTTTTTATGAGAAAGAGTTACAAAAAGTTAAGATAACTAATGACAAGGCTTTTCAAGTCGAGAAAATTCTAAAAAGGCGTGTGGTGAGGGGGAAAAAACAAATGTTTGTATCTTGGCGTAATTGGCCCGAAAAATTCAACAGCTGGGTTGATGCTGGCGAAATCCAAGATGTATAAAAGCAATCAGAATCAAGCTCAGTCCTTCATTACAACCATGGAGATAAATGAAGGGTTCTACATTACGCTGCCGTCTAATGCCAGCCTGGAGGTATTTCAAAACAATACAAGCTCTAGCTATCAGGTGAACCTAGCACAACCTTTACACTTGGATGGTTCGTGGCAGGTCGCCCTGACAGAAATATCATACCCCCACACCTGGTATAACGTACCTACGGAAGCAGCCTTTTTTGAGTGGATAAAGAAAGCAAAACTCCCTGACACATCCCCAACGAGCAAGTTAAGGCTTCATATGTTTAGAGCTGGTTACTATAGTAGCATAACTCAGCTCATAGAGGAACTTGAGTCCTGTTTTAAAAAAATTGACCCCGATGTCAGTTTACACTATAGTCCAATTAACAGGAAAATCGAATTTCTAGGAGGGGCTCAATATCGCTTCCGCTTTCCAAAAACCGTCGCCTATATGCTTGGAATACAACCAGACCAGTGGCTCAAATTTGATAATAAATCAGCTGCCTATCCAACGGATATAAATGCTGGCTCAACACATCTATACTGCTATAGCAATGTGGTCAGTCACCAGCGGGTAGGTGACGCTTTTGCTCCTCTCTTGAGAACCGTAGATATAAGAGGAACATTCGGCGATACAGTAACTCAGTATTTTAATCCTGCATACTACTTGCCGGTAACAAAAACACACATCGAGAATATACAGATAGAAATAAAAAACGACCAGAACAAACCAGTAAAGTTCACCTACGGAAAAAGTGTAGTGAAACTTCATTTCCGCCCCTCAAAACGATGATTCATCAAGACCCCCAACGTTTTGTGAGTTACTATGAAAATCAAGCGGGGGGATCCCTGCCTGGTTTTTATGGTGCCCCGGTAATGTACGGGCGAGGCATTGGCTCTATATTTTCCAGATTATTTCGTTTTGTCGCCCCCCTGGTGAGAAAAGGGTTCGCCATAGCTAAACCTCATCTGAAATCGGCGGCCAAAAATATTGCATCAGATGTTATCAGTAAGGCTGTCCATAGATTCGGCCCCCAATCAGACCCCGGATCTCAAGAAGGATCAGGTGGTCTGATGGTTTTGGCAAGAAGGCCCCGGAAGAGACCTCCAGGCAAACGGGTTCCGAGGGGTGTCAAGAAAGGAAAACACACAGTCAAAAGAAAATCATTAGGGAAAAAACACCCTCGGAGAAGGAACGTATTGGGGAGAGATATATTTTAGCGTGTTAAATATGGCCCTTTTACATCACAAATCTGCTGAATGCAGCATGGCAGAGCTGGATTTATTTTCAGCTCCGATGACACAACTCTCTATCGACGAAAAACACTACACAGAGGTCCTTCCACTGTCGGCCATTACAGAGGACGGACCCATAGAATTTTTTATACCCGGGGACGGAGATAAATACCTGGATATGAATGACACCTTGATACATCTCAGGATCAAAATAACCAACGCAGATGGGACTAATCTGGCAGCTGATGCCCCCGTGGCCCTAGTTAATTACCCTCTGAATACAATTTTTAGTCAATGCGACGTTATTCTAGGGGACAGACTAATTTCTCAATCCAGTTCGACTCATCCTTACAGGGCTATTATTGAAACGCTATTGAATTACTCTGATTCTACTTTAAAAACTCAGTTCACAGCCGGCTTATTTTATAAAGACACCGCGGGGTCTATGGACTCTATAGTCACAGCCAATGGACCAAATAAGGGGCTGGTAAAGAGGGCCTCATTCACAGCAGAATCTAGGGAGCTCCATTTGATGGGTGCTTTACACACGGATATATTCTTCAGCGAGAGGCTTCTCCTGAACTCTGTAGATTTGAGAATCAAACTCACCAGATCTAACGATGCCTTTACTCTCATGTGTGCAAATGACTCTACATACCGTCTAAAAATACTGGGGGCTTCACTTTTTATCAAAAAAGCCACAATCACTCCTGCGGTGCGTTTGGGGCATGCTGCGGCTCTGCTGAGAGGTAACGCCCTCTACCCCCTGTCACGGGTGAATCTAAAGACATATAGTATACCGGTTAATTCTAGAATATGCAACCAAGAAAATCTCTTTTTGGGTAATATGCCCAAGTACCTAGTATTGGGTACACACTAAAAAATGCTGGGTTAAAAACAACCCAATTTGGGTCGTTTTTTAACCCAACGCCAGGATCAATATTGGACCAACCCAGCAGTAGTTAATTTGACCCAACGAAATGGGTTGCGTATTTTAACCCAGCAGATGGGTTATACATTTAATCCAAATGCTGGGTCAAATTAATTACAGCCCTGGGTTAATTCTACCATGAATTGGGTTAAATATTACACCCAAATGCTGGGTCAAATTAATTACAGCCCTGGGTTAATTCTACCATGAATTGGGTTAAATATTACACCCAAATGCTGGGTCATAATAGCTGCGATGGGTTAATTCTACAAGTTATTATCGTCATGTTTTTAATGCAATACCCATGTCTCTTAAACATTTAAATTACAAACCCTTTTAAAATGCATCCTATATTTGGTCATGCAAATAATATAATATGCAATAAACGTTTTTAAACAATGTTGGAATCTTAGAAAAATATTCATTTTATTGTTATAACAATTGACAGTTCAATAAAGTGCAAACATATTCAGTTCACAATAAAGTGCAAAACTTTCTTTAAACAAAACTTAACATTTATGCATGTACAGTACAGCCTGTAAACAACACACATTAGCAGATCTACAAGCTCTGGTTTGAGAACCACTAATAGCAACATACGTTTTTTCAGAAATGACTGGTTCATATACTGGCTATGTAAACGTTACAAAGAAAATCCTCCAACATGATCACAACAATGTACTGCTCCTTTAGGTGATCCGAACTACAGGAAACTAAGATGTGCAAATAAACATTTTAACAATTTATGCTTCCACCATTTAGCTCTTTTTTTAGCACACAACTTGCTCATAAAATACTTTGAGCATTAGGTAGTATTTTGAACATAACACACACACACTTCACAAATCCAGCAATATTTAATTTAACCAGATAGAACCCTACTCTGAGCCAAGCAGCAGAAGAGAGAGAATAGAACAGGAGGACCAGCAGAAGAAAATAAAAGGATCAAGACCACAAGTCTACTTGCAAGCAAGTATTGCTGCACGCAAGGACGTAGCAGGTTTTGACTCCTCTCCTCCCTTGATTTCGTACACTGCATTTTGGAGGAATTTCCATACAGCTTCACACTGCTTTGTGTAGTCGATGTCAAAGATATAGAATACCTTGAAACAGACATCTACTGCCTGAAGCAATGTGTTTTGTTCCAACGCCTCCCCATCAAGAATAACGAACGCCTGAGAGGTGTGCCAAATATCGTTTCCCAGGGACAGGACATATGGGTAAGGTCTTGACACCTTCGCCTCATGGAGGTACTCCACCAAGTTTGTTCCAACCTGAGAAAGAAATAAAGAACAAAAGACAAGATAAATTAAACAAAGTAAAAGATTGTGCAAAAGCAAAGAGTAAGCAAGATTTGGCAGTGGCTGATACAATGCATATTCAGAAACAATGTTTTGAATTATTCTTGAGCCCAGGAATAACAGGCAGTCAGGCACATTCTTAACCACTTAAACTGGACCTGGGTTGGCTCTGTACTTTAGACCACTGTTTTCCATCTTCACCAAATCTCTTCGCCAAAAATAGCCGATCTAGCTGCCATGTTTGGCTAATGTCCCCGCCACCCCCCCAAGAATATGGATGCTGGGTTCAAGTGATTAAAAGAATAACATTTCCCTTTAGATATGCAGAGGGACTTACAGGCTTATGATCAATGAAGGCCAACTTAGACTCCTCGATAGTGTACCGGAACACTTTTCGGCCAACCCTGTAGACAGTTGGTGGAAGCAGTGTTGGTAACTGGCTCAGAGCAAGTTCCCCCAAACAATCTGTAGGAAGACAATTTTATAGGTATCAATATGTGGCATGGCATATCTGTGAATTGGTCATTTAGTAGCAAAATAAAGTCTGCTGTACAATATAACAATGTATTACCGGGTGTTAATCCATCAAGCGACGAGATAAGTTTCCCTTCCCGTCTCGCCAGGTGCAGGATCTTGTCTTTAAACAAAGGTAGCCAGGTTTCGAAGAGCTTAGGCGCAGCCTCTCCATGTAGGATCTGAAAGTCCTGTGCAATCTAAATGAAAAATTGAAAAAGAAAATTCAATGTGGCAGCTGACATACTGATAAAAGATTGTTATAAACAATGCATCCACATCATATGTAAACATATACTCCTTCCTAACTTACCATGCCTGGAGTGAATAGATGTGGGAACTCTTGGCGGATCCCTTGAATGTCCCACCCGTTTTCCCTTAAAGACTTGGCCCTGTTTGATAGTTTGCAGAAAGTACAGCAGTACAAGAATGTTAAAAGGATATCACAAAAAGCCCTGAGGGCAGTTGCAGACAGGTGCTCTTGTATGGCAGTTTTGGAGGGTAAGGAGTTGCACTTTCTTGATGGCTGGTGGTAGGGTGTTCCACATTTTGGTAGCATAATAGTAAAATGCATTCATCCCCATGTTTGTGCCGATTATGGGGGGGGGGGGGGGGGAGAGAGTAATGGAGCTCCCACTGGTGTTGTGCCCTTTTATTTTGACAGGTACATGGCACTGGTCCCTTGAAAACCAGGCCCATTGCAAGTTGCTGTACTCTGTCCTCCCCTGAGCCATCCCACTATAGCATCATAATGAGCAGGGGTTAGGTCATAGGTGTGAGAGGTCTAGTAGTAGTTTGTTTTGAGAAGTCTGTAGTTCAGATTTGAATGACTTGAGGTGCTACAGTACCATGAGGTGCATGCATAGGCAAAATGACATTGAATGAGTGCTGCAGCTAGTGTCCTCAGTGCATTCCTACTGACCTGTACACTGCTGTATCCTGCATGTATTGCTCCACCTGGTTGAGGGGCTGCGAATTGTGTTTCAGCCATTCTTTACACTGTATGGCTCTTTCTTCCGATATGGTACATTCTATAAAAGTACACATAAGGATATTAACAATCTCAAATTATATGTCTGTATTGCTTAAACAAATTATTCAGTTCCAACGATTACCTGGTATGAATGTCCTACGAGTGCTAGCTTCACTACTTTGTGGTGGTGTCTGCTGCGTGCTCTGTGACCTGGCCGGTTTTCTCATCCTCTTTCTGACGTTCCGAAGCCTCTCTTCGAGGAATCCAGTGGCTGGGCGGCGGTTCCGTCCTGGGGTGAACCAGTATCCCTGTCAAGAAATGAAAGTCTTTGGTGAATAGAGATGAGGCACATTTTGATAGCGTGGCGACAACATGTGGCTGAGCCATCTAGAACAGGGTTTGTCTGTATGTCTGTCTGACAACACCGGGCATCAAACAGCACAGAAGTCCAGTACTCTGGTGCTGGGAGATGAGTTATATTGTGTTCAACTGACTGTTTTAGCATCAATTCCTCAATAAAATGTTAATTACTTACGAAGCCACTGCTTGAGTCCGACTCGTCCTTCAAGGAGGGAAACCCATGAATCAAAGCTGCAGCCAAGGCCTTTTTTGTCTCACTGGTAGGACTGCAAACACAGAAAAACTAAATTACCAGCAGAGTCAAATTAGATCTTAAGTATTTCTAAAACATGTGTTGCACCCCAGTATAATGGCTGTAGCATATTCTGCAGCTAATAGGCATCCTAATAAATTAAAAACACTACTGAACGTGTGTTTTTGTACATGTGTTGTGCATGTTTATGTTGGTGGTCTAGGTAAAGGTCAGACTTGAAAGTAGTGTCCCGTCTTATTCTTTTCCCCTGAAAGAAGATTCATATACCTTTTTCAAACTAACATAACATTCACTAAAAACAAGAAAAAAACCCCACTATTTTTAATTACCTCTCTCCAAACTTCTCCATGAGGTGAGACACCAAAATACGGACAAGGCACTTTCTTTGCGAAGGGATGATCACATCCTCATCAAGGCTCCCCAGGATCAGCTTGCCTTCAGTTGAGCCTGTGAGAATCTGGCGGATATCCTGAGAAAATTGCAAGAAGGGACAACATCACAGATATCGTTTATTACTCTTTAGTGTTGATTAAAGAAAAAAGTGAAACCCAAGTCTTAAAAAGTGGAGCTTACAAATTGTGGAATTATATGTAGTGTTTGAGGTATCATCGCTGGTACGACAGGTGCCGTTTGGTCCTCCATGGAGGGTGGAGTTGTGGCAGTTGGTTGGACATCAGGACTTGTAGGTGGCACAGCAGGTTCAATCTAAACAGAATCCAGGTTAATGTAACAAACAGTGACAGCCACCTAGAATTGCCGGATGAGCATCAGTAATGTAAATCAGTGTACCACACCAGCGGACTCAGAAGACTGCACACAGTATGCATGGTGTGAGAGATATGCACCTGCAAAGTTTTCACCCGAGTGAATGAAAAATGCGACAAGTTTGGACCATGCAGATCTGCGGCAAATTGAAAAAGATATAAAACAAACATGTAACTTCTTAACTGACAGTGACTACTACTGTACATCGTCACCGTCGGGTGGAAACCGTGTATGTCCAAAATTGTTCCTTTTATAATTTTTAACATTTAAAAATTGTGAAATAGCCAATCGACAAGCTCTTGACATTGGGAGCTTGTAGATCTATTTGAACTACTTTTGTACAACACTATGACGAATTAGTACATTTACAAATATAAAAAACATAGTTTAAATATGGAGACAAGGTTTCTGCCCAACAGCAACGATATGTAGACAGATTAAACAAAAAATACTTACTGTACAATTTATCACATCCATCCCAGTATTTACAGAAACATCCCAGTACTCCATCGCATGATCATCCCTGTAGTCCAAAGGCACCTTTTAAGCAGCATTTATAGCTAACCACTAAACAAATATGGCAGGAAAAAATGGACTTGACGAGTCAAAATGCTATTTACAAAGTGTCATACCTACTGTACACACACTTGGTGGCAGTAAGCTGATTTTCTAAAAAAGTCTATAGCGCAGTGAAATGTATAAACTGTCATCAGTCTCGCTGAATGACTTCACTGCATGTAGGGGATGGTGATCAAGCAGCTCTCTCACATCAACAGCTGCCAAAACTTGAGTGGGAATCACACTGTATGCAAAGAAATGCCTATCAAACCATTGTGTTTCCCACTTCTGTACAACAAGTTTTATTGTTGGTGTGTGTGATGTTTGGTCTAGTACTAAAATGGACTTTATGAGACCAAATTGGGGCTCCCCATCTGGGTCATAAGACAGGAATACAGTCATGCCTGCTCGATATGCAGTTCCCTTAAAGGTAACCAAGGCTGGTTCATACAATTCACTGAAAAGGGGAATGCCTGTTAGACCACTTTCGATGTCTTTAACTCCCTCAATGTTGGCCAGAAAGGTAGTGTGCCCTGGACCAACTTCTGTATTGTGGCTCAACACAGTTCCACACAGCAAATTATAGCACTGCGCTATCTGATGGCGAAAGGCCATGGTTTTGCAAATGTTTCGGAAGTTGCATGTTACATGGCTAACCCGTTTAAAAAAGTTGTGTTTCGCTTCGAATCTCATAGCCCAAAACTGAGTCAAGGGTCCGAGCTTTTGAATGGCTCTTGGGTAATGGAGCATGAAGTGGTGTTTTGGCAGCAAATGGTGAAGAGGATAGAGCTGCAGGAAGAGAGAGTGATGCTCTTCAAGGATTTTAGCTAAGTACAGTGTTGCTTCAACAGTAAGAGAAGGAGAGAAGATGAACTCCATACATAACAGTAACAGTAGGAGAAGTTTCCATTCCTTGCTATGCATGGGGACCAGGTCACCTATCATTGACGGCAGCAACCTAAGTAGGCACCACATTTGAGCTGCTGATTGATGCATGGCGCCTTTAACCTTTTTTAGATCATCCTTACTAATTACAGAAGGTTTAGACCTCAGATGAGCTAAAAAAAGGGCTACCCGGTTGGTCATGTCATCTTGCCCTAGTTCATCCCATTCATCCTCAACTTCCTCATCTCCCTGTACAGGCTCATTTTCAGCAAGCTGTATGTCAACAGGCTGGGCTGGACCTTCAAAGGGATCATCGAGAGTATCACTTTGGTTTTCATGCTCCTTTAATAGGTGTCTTCTATAAGACCTTATAAAAGAAAATGTTCTACCACAACCAGTTTCACTACATTGGAAATATGTTGATGAATGGTTTACATGATGTACTGCACGTAAATGTTGAAAGAGAGTCTTGGCATCCCCTGGAATTTGCCTTTTGCATTTAAAGCAAATATATGCCATCTGCTCACAAATTTGAACAAATCCTCAGAATGAATATGCGTGTGTGGGGGAGGGGTGTAGCCTCTCACATCTGCAGTGATCTAACTATACTTACAAGTCCTCTACATTTTTTGAGGAACTTAAGCCTGGGGCCAGCTTTTGGAATCAATTGGCTGATGGTCCCCTCGTCTAAAAGAAGAAAACTCTCCTCGTCAATTCCCTCGTCTGAAAAACAAAAAACAAGGACATCTATTTAAACCATGGAGAACAGCAAAAAATAAGAGGCTAATTACATGGAAGCTATTGGAATAAAAATGCATTTTCAGTAACATAAAATACAATGCAGTCAATGCCATTTCAAATAATTCCTTTACCTAGCTATACAGACCATCTGCTTGCTGTGAACGTAAAAAAAAACATGTTCTTACCTTTAAATCTATCAATAACGTCTGTCAACTGCCACTGTGTCAACGTGTCACACACAAAATCGTCCATTGATCTGAGACAAAAAACACATAAAGAGCTTAATTAAAACAAAACATAAAATGTACATTTGCATGACTTCAACCTCACTTCTGGGGCTAATTTATTCAGTTGATGAGGCTACTAAAACTGATAAATGTCTGCTTCTCCTATTTATATTACCTGTTGTATTTAGCACACATGAGCCCCACTTACTATGGTTATTAGCATTGTATTTTATCTGCAGACTTATGGTTATATCAAAGCCTTTATTTTTATATAGAGTGATACACTTTTGTGACTGCTAGAAACAGGTCAACCCACAATAGAGCAAGATTAGTTAACCAACTACGGACAGCAGCCACAGGAACTTTTGCAGTCACAAATTGCTGTGAAAAATTGAGAGACCAATGAAAGTTAAGTTACAGAGAACCTGCTTTTTTTTTACACCAAACCTTATCAGTCCCCTTATCAGACAGAAAGTGCGACTACCGACACTGGCAGAGCGGCATCCGTCAAGTAACATTAACTGCAGAGCGAAAACCACAGTGGCAGTCAGCTCCGCATGGCAGCTAGCTCCGCATGGCAGCTAGCTTGGCAGCTAATTTACGTGACGCAGCCGAATAACGGCACAACATTCCTTTGTAAAAGGGGCTGATATTACTGACATATATGAGCGCCTGGGGTAGCACACTTTCCGTTTAACTTTCCCAGGGTAATGCTACCGTCCTTTAGTTTTCAATCCTGATATCCTATATTTGAACCATCTCCCTAACTGGCAGTTACACAGACTAGCTAGTTAACGACGTTAGCTTTAGCATGTTTGTCGGCTCATTCGGCTTTTTAAGTGAGATAAAAAATAACACTAAATAACAAATTAACTATCAACGTTACCACAATATCGCTCATGGACTAGCAGTTGATGACATTTATTAACAGCTTCACAGTTAGATGACAATGTGTTCTGCTTACCTCCTCCAACTTTCGCCAACGGTCTTTCTTGTCTCAATGATCCTCTCTCGCGATGATGATGGTTAAGTTTACGGTTATGCCCAAATATCGCGAGTGCACACAGGATGCAGGGGAAACCCTTTCCCGCCAGATCGCGGTCAAAATCAAACCATGGCAGAGTTCTCTTAATACATCCATGGAAGTGTCCAAGAGCAGTCAATAATGTAGCATGCCTTATTGTTCAAGCCATGTTTGTTGTTTCACATCTTTACAACCGTGAACATTTAAAAGTAGATTGATTTTTGTCTCTGTTTACATTAGTTGGTATCATAGACTGTGGTTGGTATCCAGTTTATTGGTGGTTATACCGCCACCTTCTGCTCTGGAGTGGGAATCAGATATACCCTAATCCCTTTGTCTCAGTTTATCTCAACATGAATGAATCTAATACATGTGAAATGGTTGCGATTCATGCAAACCAATACCCAATACCATAGGCGGCGCCGGCGCGTGAGGCTCAGGTTTGGAAAGGCTTAATCACTTTTTTTACCTGACGCTGCCCGCCTCCGGCATCTATAGAAAAGAGATCAACTCAGTGTGCAGAGTTTAAATCTCTCAAGTCATATTACAGGATAAAGGAAATACAGTTTAAACTGCCGTATGCAGAGAAGACGCCGACGTGTCGCACTTATCATTCATATTACATCATCAATCAGATCATCGATCATATAATATTATAATATATCATATATTTCCTTATCTGAGTCAGCTTCTCCAGCCATATCTGGCCGTGCAACACTTACAGTGTCACATACTGTATGCAGAAGTATTATTTTAAGCAATACATTATGTTCACGAAACACTCGAGTCAAATGTAATTAAAGTCAGATCTGGTGAGAGAAACCCTGGCTTGATTTACCGAGTTGATAACCAGCGTCGTAGGACCGCTTAGCGAGATCTCGTTTGTTTGTTTGTTACTCAAACATATCCAGGGTATGTTGAACTGGCTTCGTAGTACAGGGCTAGCGGGTGGCTAGCAGCGCTAATGTCAAAGACACAGACATTATACATTAGCCTATATTTGTATTTTACCAGGATGCAGTGACACAAATATTTGGGAAGGCTTAGCCTTCCCTAGCCGCTACAGCACCCGCCGCCCCTGCCCAATACCATATAAATAACCCAGAATGAGTTAAACATTTCATAACCAAATGGTTGGGTAGACAAAAATATTTTGACCCAGTACTTGGGTTGCACAAAAATAACCCAATACCATATTAATAACCCAGAATGGGTTAAACATTTCATAACCCCATGGTTGGGTAGATGAAATAACCCACTGTTTTTTAGAGTGTATGGTACATCACGAAGCCTTCACCGGCAGGAGAGAGCTTTCACCGTTTAATTTCATTCATAACGACATAGAGTACCTGGCTTTATGTCAGGACGGGAGACAAGTACCAGCCAAAGCATTTCAACCCCAATTTAACCGGGGGTCGTCAGTCAGAGAGTTTTACAACATGTTAACTGCTACAGGGAGACACATGAAAGACTTGCCTCTAAGTATAGACAGAGATGATTTCGAACAAGGATACTCTTTATTTGTGTTTAATTTAACTGCTGCTGAAGATGCCGATGCCTTATCCCCCATCACCAGCGGTAGTTTAAGATTGGAAATGAGGTTCAGAGTACCGCTGCCACAGACTACCACTTTAATCGTATATTCTTGTTTTGATTCGATTCTGGAGATTAATTCAAAACGACAAGTGCTGGTAGATTATTACTAAGAAGAAGACTACAACATGAATAATCACCAACTGGATAGTCTCATGCAGAATATGTTAGGTGGTTCTTTTGGGGGGGTATGGGCCTCAGACCAGCTACCCCGAGTAAAACAATTATTTAGATGCCCTGTATACATGATTGTCAACACCCACCCCTCCCACATGCCCGGAGAACACTGGCTAGCAGTGACTTTAGAGGCTGGGGAAGGAACTTTTTTTGATTCTTTCGGATTTCCCCCCGATTTTAGTCATTATCCTAAAAGCATCCTGCAATTTCTAGAAACACAATGTGCAACTATTTTATACCATAACCGGCAACTTCAGAATGTCATGTCTACAGCCTGTGGTCAACACTGTGTTTTTTATCTATGCAAAAGAGCGTCCGGGTTGTCTTACGAAAATGTGTTATCTTTATACCAAGATGATGTGATAAAAAATGATGCTGCTGTAACGAATTTTGTGAAAAAATACCAGAGGTGTGAGAGACGTCATAAAGACACTCATTTTAATCACAGTGTCTGTTCGCTACAAATGTTTAAAGATTGTTATAAAATGTAGAAATAAAAAAGGTCTGAAGACAAAATTAATTCAGGTGACTCTGTCTTTATTAGGAAATCATGAAATATAATACAACTTAAGGGGTTAAATGTAACCATCTGGGGCTTAATACTCTGTCTTGCCTTATCCTCTTCTTCTTCTTCTTAAGCAGGGCATTCTGAGGTTCTACAGCTGTTCCTAAAGTGTCCCACCCAGTAGTAACGGGAGATGTTTTTCTTCTTCTTTTTCGGGGGATATTTTCTCGATTTAGTTTACCCTCTTTGATTATGCGATATTGTTCACGAGCGTGAAGGTTTTGAAAAGCTGTTAAGGGAATGTTGATCTCACTCAGACTATTTAAAAAACCCCGCCAGCCCTTAGGCTCCTGGACATTTGTTTTATACGCGCAGGATAAATGTTTAAATAAATCTAAAACGTGGGAGCCTTTAACGGCAACCCCCTTGTCTATAAATTCCCCCTCTGGTGTCCATCCAGCTGTACTCGTGGTTAATTTCCTCATAATGTACTCGGCATTCTTGTGGTAACGCTTAGGGAGGTGCAGTAGAACATCGTTTTTTATTTTATCATCGGACGTGCCATCATTTTCTGCTCCTTTTACCACCCCCGTGTCTTCAGGTAGAGTCAGAGTAATATGTCTCTCCTCAAGCCCGTCTTGTTTGAGTAGGGTGAGATATCTTTGTAACAAGGTGTTGTATTTTATGATTTTTTCATAAGGGGGTAATCCTGGTTCGTTTAAGGTGGCTCTCATTTTTTCATCCAGAACATCTTCTGCAGTGCGTCTAATTGTTTCCTTACTGTGAGGGTTAGTTACACCATTCTGATTGAGCTGATTAAACTGGTGAGGTGTTAGCAGAAACATCTTTTGACTCATGGTCGAGCTAGCCCTCCTAAAAGTTGGCCTAAAATGGGGATCAACGCGCCGAGTAGCGGCAGTAGGAAACCTCCAGATTGCTTTCTTAAGGCCTTGAATTTAGTTTTTAAGTTGGTCTTTTTATTGGCCAAGAGTTTGAAAAATTTCTTTTGCTTCTTAAGC